ATAACAAGAAAAATAATAATAAAAAAAATAGAACACGGTGCAAAAATAACTAGTACAGCTTTAATAACTAGTTCTTCCTCATGAGCAGCGTGCGCGGTCGCGCAGCTCACTTGTGTAGCTCGTAATTTTTAGTTAAATTCAGCATTTTTTTAATGGGGCAAGCCCGCCATAGCTTCCAAAACCGCTGCAACTCCTGTAAGCCAGGATCTACAGTGGATACAACCATGAAAACACCGGAACACTGAAGTCCGGCGCGTCCCAGGGACACGAATAACTGTTTTGGTTCCCGCAACGAAATGAATCAAAAGATATTTTAAGATGAGAAGAAAAAAAGCTGTAGTTTCTACTTCCCTCGGTGAATTACTGCATGAGACAGAATGAATTAAGCCTAAACGCACAAAAAAGACTGTACAACTGGGTGAAGCCCAGCCAAGCACCACGGAAAATTGACTAAAATCTAAGTGGGTCCTATGTGTGAGCTGTCATACTTGCTTCCAGTAATAGGTATGCCAAAAGCGCCGAAACTAAATTATTAAATTCAGCATGTATCACAATAGTTATTATAAAAACAATCATTAAATGTCTTTGAACACGGCGGTTAGAGGCATATTTCTGTGATTTTGCATACGAGTCCCATGTAATAGAGATAGTCTATTGCCATATACCGGCCACGTCTTTAGACATTAGACCAATTTGTATATTTCAAATATTTAACTAGTCAACTATAAAATATAGAAGACACTAGAATATTAATGAAAGGTTTAGCAAGAGATTAAAATGATTGGGTCAAATATCAATATTTGGAGACGTTTTTTTGGAAATTATATATAGATTTTGGCTAAAATCGAAAAAATGAAATGTATGTAAACTAATCATAAGTGTAGAACTACGAGTGTGTAATCAATAAAGAAACTTTGTTCTGAATAATATCTCTTGAAAAACGACTTGCATTAACAAAAAAGTACCTTACAATAAAAATTAATTTAAAAAAATACAAATTTAAACAATAACGTACATATTTATGAATTTTGAAATTGTGATATTTTTAAAACGATTCCGAGCTAAACTAATATAATTATTTTATAATAATAATAATAATATTGTAATAGTAAATTTTATTTAATTTTAAGATTAACACGATCGCTTCTACATGTACTGTGAATTATTTTAATTTCTCTAATATTGCTTTTCGTCGAGGTCGTCCGTTTCGTTTCGAGATGAAACGGGGGTCGATAGTTTTCGAGTGAAATGAAAAAATGCATCTTTTCTCTAAAAGTTATACTTAAATATTTTACTACAAGTATTATTATTTATATATACATATATAAATGTCTATATAAATTCACAATACACATAAAAACTAATATTACAGGAAACAGCGATTCAGTAAAGGGTAGAATTTAACTATAACAAAATGTATTTAAATAAAAATGAATTTCTGTTCGTTAGTCTCACTATAACTCGAGAACGGCTGAGCCGATTTTGATAAGTTTGGTATTGAAATGTTCGTGGAAGTCCAGGGATGGTTTAAAAGGTTAGAAAGAAAGATTGAGATGGTACGAACTTTGTCGTGTCAGCTAATTATTTAATAAACATTATTGTGAATCTCTGTTTGTCCTTATAGGTACACTGTAGACTTCTGGTTCCGCCCGAAACAACCTTGTGTGATCCATAAATAGTTATTCAGTGTCTGGTCTGCAAGTTTTAAACATAAACAGTAACAATAGAGTTTCTTGCTCATTCTTCTCCATACGAATCTACATTTCACTTTTATTTCGTACTGAAATATGTACGTCTATGTCTATCTCCCTCTACTGTATATCGCTGTCCCTGTCCTACCTCTAGAGCTCTAGTACTGAGTTATGACGTCATCATGTCGCTGACGTTCCCGCCACTTACTCCGGCCGCGCCCTTTAGTAAGTCGTTGATGTCGCGACGGAACATTGATAGATTTTGGGTGAATCTGCAATGAAAAGATAATTAGGTAATCATATGTGTGATTATATAGAAAAAAAATACACATTTTGCTTCCTGAAGGAGTAAAACAGGGTCGAAAAGGCTAAAGGGATCGAGATGTAAGATAGAATAGGGTAGATCAGGGTCTGAAACAACAAATAGGTTCATTTTTATCCTACGGAAAGGCGGTTAAAGCCGCTGGCAGCGAAGCTAGTATCTATTTACACCGTAAAATCTATATCGTTTTCGTTTCGAAGTAAAATGATTATGTCTTGTTAACCCTTCAAGAGCACGGCATAATTATGTCCCTAGTTAGCGGAAGTATTGCCTTTTATTAGTGGCAGAATTGCCGTGAACACTTATCTACCTATAGTCAAGGACTTAATACAATAGTTGTACAAAGAAATAAAGTGTATAAAACAAAAAATAACTGGTGAAACATTACAAAAAGCAAACTTCGAAAGCGCATACTAAGTCAAAGTACCCGCTGTTACCCGGGACTTCGTTCGCAGTGAAATGATTCATATTTCTTGTTAATTTATACTTTTTGACGCGACACCGTGTCGATTGGCGAGGCGTATTTGAGAACTAGTATGAAACGGAACGTTTATTGTCTACTCAGGATGGCGACTGCGGTTTGTCTGACAGTGTCATTAAAATGAATTAATAAAACGAAATAATCTCCGTAATCCGAATTTTGCGGATATATGTTGTCGACTCGAAATCGATTTTTTTTTTTATGTTTTGTTATTCAGGTAGGTAATGTTTCGATCGAGTCTACCGTACCCCTTGACGAAATCTTTATATATATAATTCTACTGTACGTGTGTAGGTCAATGAACTCCTCCTAAACGGCTTGACCGATTTAAATGAATTTTTCTGTACGCGTTTGAGTGGCACCCTGGATGGTTTAGATTCACAAATCAGCCCGGCAGATCGCGCTGCAGTCGATTTCTAGGTTAGTCATCCTAAACGGCTGAACTGATTTAAATGAATTTTTGTATATACATTCAAGTGGATATTCAGGACAATGTCTGTCGGGTCCGCTAGTTATTAATATAGATGCTCACCTATCTCTATTCTTAGTCAACAAGTTCGGTTCGATGCCGGCCATAAGACCATTAAACCAGAGCGCCAGTTGTTGCTGTTTGTCTCTCGGCTGCTGAGCGATCATATCCTGGCGGATGCGCGCGAACTGCTCCTCATTGAGGAGTATCAGGCCCAGCAGGGGACGGGACATAGACCACTGGTTGCAGCAGTCTTCGAACATTATTACGTTTAGGACCTGTGGAAAGCATAAACAGATGAAGAAGAAGAAGATCTTCTGTCGATTTCTTAGTATTTTAACAAGTTTTTGGTACTTTTGTATGGTACAGGCCGGCGAATGAGCAGACCTGATGGTAAGCAATCACCGCCGCCCATGGATATAGGTAACACTTAAAAAGTAACAAATGCGTTACGTGTGTTTTGGGGTTCAGGATTTGAGGATTGGGGATTTGGGGATAAAGAGAGAAGGTTTTGGACTTCCACACGATGAAACACAAAGTTGTTTTACTGTAGTGTACTATGATGCAATGGTATTGCTGAAGTTGAACCGGTCATATTGATCTCGCTTTGTATGATTTTTCTATGCATTTAACGGTCAGTTTATACTGGTGTCGCATAGCTTGATGTGTAACCATTTGTACTTCGCCGCTCCAAAGTAGGTAGCTAGTTAATAGATTTGTAAAATAGATACCTAGGTATCTATGTTGATCAACTTTAGACACGGATAGTTTGAAAATAATTATGTAGGTACCTAATTTATCTATACAAATTAATAAAATACTTACTAAACCTAATTACCTACTCAAAATTATGATGTTTCGGGAGTTTTCTTTTCCGAGATTAATGTAGATCAAATTTTTTTTATCATGTGATACCTTGCCTACCCTACTTCAAATCTCTGTGCACGCCCCTGCCGTCTGGTACATTAATTTAAAACTTTAGACACGTACTTTTTCTTTTCTCAAAAAATTAAATACTTTCGACGATATATTAATTTGAAATATCATGTGACGTCACAGCGTGTCACATTTTGTAGCACGTTATGACGTAACGACCTCCCACATCTAAACTTAGCGCCATTTTATTTAAGTAATGCAACTGAATACGAGAAAATAAAAACTATACGTGTCTAATATTTTTTCATTATCTAATTGACGGACTAATTAGATGTTTGGAAACTACCCAATTATAAATTAGACTACTTTTTAATCGGGAGCAAATAACTAAAAATCTTTTGTCTTCTCTGTTTGCTTTTTGTTAATCTTAATTTATTGTGTAAAGTCTATACTAGGCTCACAATGATACCATACATGAAGGCACTGATCTCTGTGATACAGGTATTTCCCTAGTACAGAGGTCAGAGTTTTAATTTTGTACTACGACACTATGACTTGTATCAAATTGTGTACTTTTTTACGTAATAAAGATTATTATTATAATCTATTTGTGTAACATGTTTTAGGCGGCTCCCATTGCTCAGCCCACCACTGGCGCCGCAACTGGCATTCATTGTCTTTTTGATACTACTCTCTGAACTATTTTACAAGTTATCGACTAAGAAGAAACTGGTCATAAAACCATATCATAAAAACTCGTTATTATAAAAGTAGTATCTTATCAATTGACTTGTATTAAAAATTATAATTTGACATTTTGAAATCTGTATCTTGACATTACTTTTTTTTTTTTTTTGAAAAACGTTGCCCCACACTAGGATTTTCTCCTGTGTCGTGGGTGCGTTTACAAACATACAAGTTCACATACATAATGACACCCAGACCAGGAACAACAAATGTGTGGATCACACAAAGTGTTGTTCCGTGCGGGAATCGAACCCGCGACACGTTGCACGGCAGCCGGTTGCCCAGCCACCGCACCAACCGTGCAGCCGTAAGACTTAATAATAATTTATTTAAATTAAATTAAAAATAAACAGACTTAATAATCAATTAAATTAAATTGCATTAAATTAACATTCGCATGCCTGGAAAAGGTGAAATACATTGTACTGTAAAAAATTAGACTAAGATCCATTGTACCATATGTTCCTGTGAATAAATTTCTATTTCTATTTGAAATAAGGTGTATAATGGAGTGGGTGAGATAGGGTAATGTTAACATACCGTAGCGAGTAACTGTTGCATGATCTCGGGACGTCGTTGTAACACTTCTATGAACATGTTGCTTGTCTCTGGGGGCGGCTGGCGGGGGTTCGATACCTTGTTGCTAGCTGTGGGGTACAATATTAGGTTTAGTAAATGAAGAAACTTCCTGATATTATAAAAACGCTACAGTAACACGGAGTAAATAGAATCGAAGTCATCCCTTCTAGAATAATTTCGCAATTTCATTTCCCGCCTTTTCAACCGACTCCAAAAAAGGTTCTTTTTTATGGAATAGGAGGCAAACGAGCAGACGGATCACCTGATGGTAAGCGATCAGCGCCGCCCATGGACACCCGCTACACCAGAGGACTCACAGGTGCGTTGCCGGCTTTTTAAAAAGGAACATAACATAACATCACGCCTTTTACCTCGAAAGGGTAGGCAGAGGTGCAACTTATGCCACTGTACAATGCAACACCCACATTTCACTATTCATGTTATGAGTGCCATGTAATAGGGGGTGAGCCTATTGCCATATACCGGGCACAATTTCAGACTCCGTTCTACTACTGAGATTTAAAAACCAAGTAATACTTTGCCCGACCCGGGAATCGAACCCGGCAGTCGCACTTGCGATCATTCGACCAAAAAGGCAGGCATTATAAGAATAATAATAAATAAGGGCTACTTACATTTCTGTACCAACTGCTTGAACAGATAAGTCACAATATGGTCTAACGTAGCGCAGCATCCCGTACAGACACTCGTATCTGTATATATATAACATTATACTATTAAATAAATATACATATATATTCTAGAGGTATATCTTTATATATATAATTCTTTTGTGAGTGTGTATGTCACTGAACATCTCTCAAACGACTGGACCGATTTTGATGAAATTTTTTGTGTGTGTTCAAGGGGATCTGGGAGTGGTTTAGATTCACAAATCAGCCCGGCAGATGGCGCTGCAGTCAATGTTTAGGTTATTTATCCTAAACAGCTGAACTAATTTGAATGAATTTTTGTTTATACATTCAAGTGGATATGCAGGACAACGTCTGTTGGGTCCACTAGTACTCATATATTATACTAATATATAAAGCTAAAGACTTCGTTTGTTTGATTGTTTAAACGTACTATAATCTACGTAACTTCTGGTTCGAATCTAATTATACTTTTCGTATCTGATAGTTCTTTTATCGAGGAAGACCATAGGGTATGAAACATCACTCTACCATCAATAGGGTAGATGCCTAATTTTTATTTTAATGTCCGTCTGGTAGATTATTTTAAATCATTACACACGTATTTTTTATTTTCTTACAGAAACGAATACTTTCGACGATACACTGATTTGAAATGTCGCGTGACGTCACTTCTATGTACATTTTATACTTAGAAATGACGTTTTAGCCCCCACTCCTAAACTTTGATTCGTTTTATCTCAGTATTGTTTTATTATACGACAAAATAAAAAACAACTGTCTAATATTTTTTCATCACCTAACTTACGGACTAATTATATTTTTAATTTTCATACTATTATAATTACTAACGGAGAACGCCCAAAACCCAGAGTCAATTAAAATAATAGACCACAACGTCGCCCCCACGACGTGGGAAGTCCATGAGGATTTTCATCGCGGTATAAAAAAAATCCTTTCACAATAAAATGCTCTCATTTTAAAGGTAACTAAATTGCCTTTTATTAAAATACTTGCGTCAGAATATATTTATCAAGAAATGAAAAAGGAAAAAAGCCTATGGCTCTGTTTTTTTGCTCCCAAGTGTATATTGTACTTTTTCAGAAGCATAACATTACGCCTTGAAATTCGTAAAGGGGTAGGCAGAGACAATGATTTTATTACTTATATTGAGTCACATATAATTCAGTATTAATATATTTATACAAGTTGTAGTTTTGAAGCCGTGTCATATCTCGGGGGCATGTCACAGAAGTCATAAAGGTTCAATGTAAGAGAAAGTATCGGGCCAATACTTTTAAATACGGCTACAATAAATCGTTTTAGTTCGACAATATTTCAGAATAAGCGACAGCAATGTTTCTTATTGGAGTTTTATGGAATTAGGAATAATAATATCTTTTTTTTTTCTTTTTTTTAAACGTTGCCCCACACTGGGATTTTCTCCTGTGTCGTGGGTGCGTTTACAAACATACAAGTTAACATACACAATGACACCCAGACCCGAAACAACAATTTGTGGATCACACAAAGTGTTGTCCCGTGCGGGAATCGAACCCGCGACACGTTGCACGGCAGCCGGTTGCCCAGCCACCGCACCAACCGTGCAGTGCATGTGTTTGTTTGTGTGTGTTAAGCCGCGTTATAAAACTAGTAACAAGACGGCGGCGTGTAGTTCGCACTTACGGATTTCCGTAATTTACAGAAAAATGAAAAAAAAATTCCTAAATTTTTTTTTATTGATTCGGTCTCAGAATCGATAGCCGAGTTACCTCCAAGAAAATGACGCGGCTTTAAAACAACACCTTGTATATGTATAATATATACTTACCTAGAGCCGTAAGTCCCTCGGAGATAGAGCAGAGTATGTAGAGAGTTGCGTCAGGTTGTAGCGACGCTAGGAACGGCATATGGTCTTGGGCTAGTCGTTCTAGCAACACGTAGTATGTCTGAGATAGTTTAGGATAGTCCTGTAGACAAACATAACAGTTATAAAGACTTTTTATGGCATAAGCAGGTAACCGAGCAGACGGGTCACCTGATAATAAGCAATCGGCGTCGCCCATGGACACCTGGAACACCAGAGGCGTTACAAGTGCGTTACCGGCCTTTTGGGGATTAGGAATTTAATGATTGTTGGAGATTCAGGGATTGGGGAAGTTGGGTTGAGGGATTTGGGGGGGGGGATCCCAGAGTCGATTAAAATGATTCATGGACAATATAATAGATTACTAGAACAGTCTTACGTCCGAATCCTGTTCCTTGTTCCTACATACTTTCAAAGTCAAAGTCAATATTATTTCAAGACCAAAAAGGCACTTATGAACGTTAACAAAAAAAATTAAAAATGAAGCTATTTGCTAGTTCTAAGGTATAGATTCCTATGAAGAACAACGAGCAAGAAACTCCATAGGTTTTTATTTCAAAATTTTAAGAAATAACTATGCTATTTGACGCTATAAAACGTGACGTCACAATACACAATCTCGTACAATACTCATAGAAAACTGTCATTTTTGACAGTTCGATAAAAGTATTGAATTTGACTAGTTGTCATATACCGTATTGTTCATAGAGGTCATAGTATGTCGTACGTACCAGTAGATCGCTCTGCGGTATACTGAGAAGTAGTTTGACGAACATGTTCAACGCGTTGTCTAGTGCCTCGTCGCCGTATAATCTGAAAATAATTATCTTTTTATTAAGTACATAATGTACACACTCAAATAAAATTTGTAATATTTAAACTACGTATAGACCACGTCGTTTGGACACTGTCGTGGTGGACCGGAGGTTTAAGACGCCCGCATCTCATACATGAGGGTGCGGGCTCGAAACCTACCAACAGCAAGTACCAATGTGACATTTTCCGAGTTATATGTACTTTCTAAGATTATCTAGACACCACTGACAAACGGTGAAGGGTAATATCGTGAGGGAACCTGGGCTTATAATCTCTAATTTTAAGTTTGTAATCGCCAACCCGCATTGAGCAAGCGTAGTGATTAATGCTCAAACCTTCTCCGTGTGAGAAGAGGCTTTGCTCAGCGGGACTTTATAGGCTGTTGATGACGATGATGTCGAATTATATCACTTATTCTACCTGAAAACTGGCCTACAAACTGAACAAGTACTTGTATGACTTACCTGAACACTCCGAAATTAGCATAGTTCCCGCATAGAGCCGCCTTGAGTATGGAGAAACAGAGAGATATGCCCTTTAGCTTCATGGCGTACATCTGTTTCTTATTTACGTCTATTGTTAGTATTCTGCTGCCTGGAATATCAAATGAAATTAAAAAATAAATTCAAGTCAATATATTTTGAAGTTGATTGATTAATATTTTGAAACCTTCTCCTACAACGCTTTTCTGAAAACCACATCAAAATCGGTTAAGCCAATCGCGAGAATCCCCGATTTATCCCGGTAGAGATAAGCAGAGATGCACATTACGACACTTAATGCCACTGTACAATGTAACACCCACTTTTCACTATTTATGTTATGAGTCCCATGTAATAGGGGGAGAGGCTATTGCCATATACCGGGCACAGTTCCATACTCCGTGCTACCACTGAGAATGTTTAAAACGCCCAGTAATAAGTTGCCCGACTCTTGCCCAGGGGGCTTACTCTTGAATCCAATTCCGAACGATCAAACATTAGTATTGTGAAATTTCATACTCTTGAGTTGCAACACTAGTGCCCATTGCATCCGTATTGCGTGGATATTTATTAAACTAAATGGTATTGAGTTTGGCTTTATATTCCGTACTCTGAATGTTATTTTAACAGCTACGATAAGGGTTGTATAGTTTTGACATTGAATAATTATTGAGATTTTATTGGATTGAAATTGCATTGACATTGAGATTGGTTTCAAGAGTAAGTACCCAGCAACCGCAGTAAGATTAGATTATATCTGTAATAACACATAGGCTATTTTTTATCCTATAAAACCGCGGGCAAAGCCGCCGGCAGCAGCTGGTGTACAAGTAAATTAGACTTACCATAAGCGCAAATAATATTAGAAAGTTCTCGAAACAGTAATATTCCGTTGGGCGAGGAGACGTCGAAATGTAGCCGCTGGTTACGATTCTGTGCCAGCTCCGCCGTCAGCTTCAGTACTGGAGTAGTTAGTGCTGGCTCCGCGAACCAAACCTCTATACCTCGGAGCAGGACTTTCATGTATACAGGGTATCTGGGGAGACAATAACAGAATATTAAATAATTAGACAATTTGAATGGTCGTGGTGGTCCGGAGGTTTAAGACCCCCGCTTCTCGTGCATGAGGGTGCGGGTTCGACCTACCAACGGCAAGTACCAATGTGACTTTTCCGAGTTATATGTACTTTTTAAGATTGACGACTGCCGCGCAAGGGGTCTCGGGTTCGAGTCCCGGGTCGGGCAAAGTATTAATAGGTTTTTCACAAAATCTCAGTAGTAGCACGGGGTCTGGAATTGTGCCCGGTATGTGGCAATAGACTCACCCCCTATTACATGGGACTCGTAACATAAATAGTGAAAAGTGGGTGTTACATTGTACAGTGTGCACCTCTGCCGACCCATTCGGGGATAAAAGGTTTGATGTTATGTTATATAAGATATAAAACGATGAATTAAAAATAAATATATTTTTTTATAAAACCCAGTAATACTTTGCCCGCCCCGGGAATCGAACCCGAGACAACTTGCTCGGAACTCGCACTTGTGACCATACGGCCAACGAAGCCAAAATAAATAGGTTATCACTACATAGTACAACACAAAGTCGCTATCCGGCGTCTGTCTGTCCCTATGTATGCTTAGATCTTTAAAATTACGCAACGGATTTTGATGCGGTTTTTTTTAATAGATAAAGTAATTTTTACAGAAAGTTTATATATATAATACATGCATATTGCACCCGTGCGAAGCCGGGGCGGATCGCTAGTAATAATATATGTAAAGAAATTATATTTTCTTTAATAATTATTGTTCATATGAGATTTAAGTAATTAAACTTTTTTATGTTACCATAGATAACATTTAGAATCTATGGATTGAGAACTGTCAAAACAAGAGACGTGATAATTGAATATCTTACGGAAAGTAATTAAAATAGATAAAAGGGGGAATTTGGAATTTAAATAATAGGCTTAATCGTTGTTTCTTTGATTTACAGGTGAGATGATCATTATTATTTTATTACTAGATTATTAGTGTACCTAAATATGTTATGTTTTTGTTAAATAAAACCTTTGATTTACAGAGCAACACGTGGTTTGTTATTTCTACTTCAACATTTCCAAATAACCCAATCATTACATATATATTCAAAATACACTTACATCCAATCAAAAAGCATCATATAAGTAGTTTTAGTGCTGAACGCGAACGCTAGCCCGCGTAGATCGCGCGCGAGACCTATTAGTGTCTTCTTGGCGTCTTCTGAATTGTACATTGTTGACTCCGGCCCGCTTAACAGGCCTATGATACTCTCGAATGCCGCTGTTGGAAGAGAAAATATATTATTTTCTTTTATATTTGATGGGCCGACGTTAGACCACTATCTCGCCTGGCGGTAAAGCGATAATGCGGTCTACGATGGAACACGTCGACTTCTGGCAACACATGTCTAAGGACAATGAAAACAAATCAACGGATGACGTCACAAAATCCTACATCGCACATGCGAAGTTTACAAGCGAATAAACACGGATAGAAAATCCCAACAAACAACTGTTGGGCAGAAAGCCCGCCAGGCACGATCATCTCGCCTGGTCGGAAGACCCTCCTATTTCGATCTTAGGGAACTATACTCTCTGTTCCTTAAAAACTCATAAGCAACCTATTCACTCGGGCCATGAAGACATCCAGGTTATACGCTTCAGGAAATACAGACTCTGTCAAAGAAATTTCTGCTCGACCGTTGTATCACTCCGGTCGAGCCGGCCCATTCGTGCCGAAGCATGGCTCTCTCACACTTAAAATATATGTTATCCTTTAAGTTGTATGTGTGTACATCTATCTATCTATATATAAGAATGAAACTCTTTTCCCGTTGTCACGCTATAACTTTAGAACGGCTAGACTGATTTTGCTGATTTTTTTTTTAATTATTATGTTTCGGCTTACTCACGTAATAATTTGACGAGGAACTCGATTGTTTTTATAACAACTATCGTGAGACATACTAAATTAAGTAAAATCGCGGGTAAATCACGTGAATATACTGAGAAAAGCTCTACTAGTTTCGAACCACAGAGGGGTTCTTCCTCATGAGCAGCGTGCGAACTCGATTATTCGAGTCTGCGGGCCCAGCGCGGCCTCGGTATGCCAGTAGCAGCCGCGTCGCAGGTCGTGAAATGCTGCTCATGAATATGAGCCTCTAGCATGGCTTGAAACTAGTCGAGCTCCTCGTCAAATTATTACGTGAGTAAGCCGAAAACATAATAATTAATTTAGTATGTCTCACGAAAGTTACAATACACATTTTTTTTTTTTGTGTTTGTTATTGTCAGGAGAAGATTCTTAGGACAGAAAAAATCTTGATAATTCTACGGGAACGGGAGAAAATGGGACAAAGCTTACGAAGTCGCGGGCGGAAGCTAGTAAATAAATAATAGACGGTACCAGTGAGCGGCATCATGAAGGCGAGGAACCTGTCCTCGTCCTCCCCCAGGTCCACCATGAGCAACCTGCCCAGCGCCGTGTACAGCATGCTCCGACAGCGCATCTCGGCCGCGCCCACGCCCGCTATACCCAGGAACGGGAAGTGCTCCGCCTGGACGGGGGGGGACATCGATATTGTTCTTAATATTGTTGCTTTATTTCAGGACACTGTCCATATAAAATATATTAATATTATAAATCGGAAAGTGAGTTTGTTTGTTTGTTTGTTTGTTCCGCTATCACACCATAACTACTAAACCGATTGCTTTGAATTTTTGCACATTGCAAGAAACGGCACCGTATTTCGCTGACTGGTGTCACAGAGTCGGCCACGGAAACGTCGAATAATAGAGTAATTGGGTCAGAAGTATTTGACTGCGTCGCTGGCCGAGTGGTCGCAAGTGCGACTGCGCAGCAAGGGGTCTCGGGTTCGATTCCCAGGTCGGGCAAAGTATGGGCTTTATATAAAAATTCTCAGCAGCATTCTTATACCGGGGTGACTCCGTGGAGCCTGTACATGTGCCCGATATAGTGCAATAGCCTCACCCCCTATTACATGGGCCTCATAACATTATGTGCCGTAGTGTGCACCTCTGCCTAACCCTTCGACGATAAAAGGCGTGATGTTATGTCAATAACTTACAGTATGATGTGTCAGCATGAACTGGACCTCGTCCAGTTTGACCAGTTTCCGTACACACGAGTACCCGCCGCTAAGGTCACTGAGTAAGCCGAGCGTCTTCGCTATGATCTGCTCCGAACCGCCCCAGTACTTCAAATTTGTTATACTGTTGGGAAAAGTGTATGGTTATTATATTTATCGTTCGTATCATTTTTTAAAGGGGGAAAAATCATCGAATGTCTTCTTCCGCCTGGGTGAAGCGGGAGGGAGTGTCAGACTCTTACTGACTAAAAACAACCCCGTTCCTACTCGTGCACAAGTACTTTCTAAGATTATCAAGACACCACTGACAAACGGTGAAGGAAAACATCGTGAGGAAACCTGGGCTTATAATTTCTAATTATAAGTTTGAAATCACCAACTCGCATTGAGTAAGCATAGTGATAAATGCTCAAACCTTCTTCGTGTGAGAAGAGGCTTTTGGTCAGCAGTGGGCACTTATAGACTGTTGACGTATGTATATTTGTTACACTTACATCTTCCTCATGAGCACGCTGAGCAGTTGACTCTCGTCAGCCAACCCCAGTACATCACTAAGTCGGCGGTACACCTTACTGTTTTTCTGGACCTGTTCCCCCACGTAGATCTTGCGGAACTGCTCGAAGAATGACATCATCGCCAGCTCGAGTTTCTCGCAACCACCCTTTACAAGAAGAAACATGTAAAACAATATTTTTTTTTAACGTATTTATTCACAAAAAAATATACATAAATTAGCTAATACATCAAAAATCGCCAAACTGTATAACAGTTTGTTGGCGATAATAGCTTCTGCGGATTAAATGTAGCCTACACACATACACACTAGAGTGCTTTTTCTTTCTTTTTTTAAGGGGGAAAAATCATCGAATGACTGCTCCCGCCTGGGTGAGGCGGGAGGGAGTGTCAGACTCTTACTGACTAAAAACCACCCCGTTCCTACTCCTGCACTTCATCCGTGGTGGTCTGATGGCTCCTTCTGGTTCTGGTCGGGCGGCGAGCCACTCAGGCTCGCCGTCCGCTGGCCCGACACTAAAGTAGACTAAAGCCTACTAACCAGACCAGCAGCTGTAGCCAAATGCCATTTAGCACTTATCTACATGTAGAATAGAAAACCAAATTATATGTGATTGACGTAAATTTTGATACTTGTTAGTGTCATCCCCATACATTTAGTTTTCTACTCTTTCGGTAGACAAGCGCTAAATGGCATTTGGCTACAGCTGCTGGATTGAACCTAGAGAGCGCATAGGCATAGGCACGCATCTCATTAGCGCTCCCAATTTTATTATTACCACCGTCTCTCTATGAGCAACCGACTGCATGGTTGATGCGGTGTGCAACCGGCTGCGTGCAGAGTGTCGCGGGTTCGATTCCCGCACGGAACAATACTTAGTGCGATCCACAAATTGTTGTTTCTGGTCTGGGTATCATGTGTATGTGAACTTGTATGTTTGTAAACACACCCACGACACTGGAGACAGTCCTAGTGTGGGGCAACATTTTACGAAAAAAAAAATTAGTCACGCTCGTCTCGCGGCTCCCCCTCTGTAACCTGCAGCTGTAGCCAAACGCCATTTAGCGCTTGTCTACATGTAGAATAGAAAACTAAATTATCATCCCCATACATTTAGTTTTCTACTCTCTCTGTAGACAAGCGCTAAAGTGACGTTTGGCTAAAGGCACTGAAGCTCTAGGTACTTGCATAGTTAGTGTACGTATATTATTATTATGTATGTCTTTACCATTCACGGGACCACAGGGTCCCGGTCATTTGGGAGGCGTACGAGGGGCCGAAGCCAACCGCGCAGAGGCCCTTTAGACAACTTTCATCTAAATGTAATGGACACACAAACCGGCGACTATCTTTGTATGCACTATGGGAATGCACCCAAGGACAGTCCCCGGTTAGTGTAGAACTAATGTGGATAATAGAAGAAAAAAGGTAGGGCTATGGATGGGTTGCTGTGGGCCGGTAAATTGGAAACTATCGATGACTATGGCACCTGCTGAAACAATGTAATTATTACACGTAAAAATGGCAGGCGGAGACTCGCCAACTCACCGACCGGGCCCCGGGAATGGTTGCTAGATATAGCAACAGAGGGGCAACGAGAATGTGAGTGGCTGAAGGGTTAAGAAACTACCACCGCTTTCTACTCAGATCATCTGCTCCAGCCGAAGCCTCCTGCATCCCTGGCCCACTCGCGACTTACGAATAGTTTCACTCTGGACGGCCAATGAAGGCAAGCCAGAGGGGGAGACCTGTTCCTTGTCATCATTCACTCCAGCCAGCCAATTAAGGCAAGCCGGAGAAGAAGGAACGGTGACTTCTCCCTGGAGCACTCGGGATGATGATAGCCCGCGGGGTCGCTAAATACTGTTACTTCATTTTAATTCTGAGTTTTATTGTATTTTGCTTCGTGTATTTTATGTGTTCAACTTTATCTAATGTTCTGTAGTTTTACTATATTTTCTCATTTACTTTTAACATCTTTTTTATATTACGTACTTTGATTTAGTTTTCTTTTTTTTATATTTGATTAATGTAATTGGTGTATACCGTGGTAACCAATCCTTACCAATATTATAAATCTGGAAGTGAGTTTGTTTGTTTGTTCCACATTCACGCCGTAACTACTAAACCGATTGCTTTCAATTTTTGCAGACGTACAGTTAGAAGCCCGGATTAAATAATAGGGTACTTTTTATCCCGGAAAATTTTGATATTCTCGAGGAAAAACAAAAGTATTGGTATAGATGGCACTGTGTGTATTGGTATATGTCGCGTGTCTTTTGTGACGCGAGCGAAGCCGCGGGTAAAAGCTAGTAAACAAATAAACAATAGTTAGCCTTCTAGATAATACAGTTCTGCGACTAACCTGAGCCAGTCTGGAGTCAGTAAGGTCCATGAGCTGCAGCACCCTGCAGACGAGCTCGCCGTCCATGGCGTCGTTCTCTTCGGACGTATTGACGGACGCACGCCCGCCTATGGCCGCGCCGATTATGTAAACTAGCCATGTTAGCTGACCTGTACAAGAAAACATATAATAAGTTAATATAGTTTAATAACCAATATTTTTTTTTTATAAATTACACATCACATAACATCACGCTTTTTATCCCCGAAGGGGTAGGTAGTTTTTTTTTTTTTTTTGGGGCAACCCGCCACAACCTCCCAAAACCGCTGCAACTCCTGTAAGCCAGGATCTACAGTAGATACAACCATGAAAACACCGGAACACTGAAGTCCGGCGCGTCCCAGGGACATGAGTAACTGTCTTGGTTCCCGCAACGAAGTGAATCAGAAGATATTATAAGAGGAGAAGAAGAAAAACTATGGTTTTCACTTCCCTCGGTGAATTACTGCAGGAGACAGAATGAATTAAGCCTAAAGGCACAAAGAAGAGACTGTACAACTGGGTGAAGCCCAGTCGCCAAGCACCACGGAAATTTGACTAAAAACTAAGTGGGTCCTATGTGTGAGCTGTTATACTTGCTTCCAATAATAGGTATGGCAAAAACGCCTAAACGCACGGAAATTCGTTCTAGATTCCACAAGGTCCGTATAATAAGCTACACCTGACGAAACAATTAAATTATTTAACATAGTGTTACGTTCATATTGCCAGAGATCACACTCCCAGAGTATGTGATGGGCCGACTGCTCGTATTGCAACTCCGCTGTCGAACATTGGCACCATGGTGAATCAATAAGTTAATAAGTTAATAGGTTAATAAGGGGTAGGTAGTGTGAGTGTATCATCACTGGCCCACGAAATATATTTTTTGTGATGTTTCTTTTTATGGAATAGGAGGCAAACGAGCAGACGGATCACCTGATGGTAAGCGATCAGCGCCGCCCATGGACACCCGCAACACCAGAGGAGTCACAGGTGCGTTGCCGGCCTTTTAAAAAGGAATACGCTATTTTCTTGAAGGGTTTGAAGGTCGTATCGTTTCGGAAATACCGCCGACGACAGATCATTCCACAGTTTTGCTGTGCGAGGCAGGAAGCTACGTGAGAAGCGGACAGTTGGTATATTTTGATGGCATGGTTGAAGCGGTGGCTGGGCGACTGGCTGCCGCGCAACGTGTGGCGGGTTCGATTCCCGCACGGAGCAACTGTGATTCACAGATTGTTGTTCCGTGTCTGGGTGTGATGTGTATGTGAACGTGTATGTTTGTAAACGCACCCACGACACAGGAAACAATCCTAGTGTGGGGCAAAGGTTAAGCATTGCAATCCAATGCTGACATGTAGTCTTTTTATTTCGTGGGCCATGTTTATAATTTTTGATATACAATGTAAATAACAGGGGTATGCGAAATAGGGTAGATGCTTAATTTTTATTTTAAAGTCCGTCTGATAGATTATTTAAAATCATTACACACGTATTTTTTATTTTGTTACAGAAACGTATACTTTCGACGATATATTGATTTGAAATGTCGTGTGACGTCACTTCTATGTACATTTTATAAGTAGAAATGACGTTTTAGCCCCCACTCCTAATCTTTGAATTTATTATAGGATAAAATAAAAAAAATACGTGTCTAATATTTTTGCATTACCTAACTTATAGACTAACTTATAGCGTGATAAAAATAGAATGAAAAGTATTGGAAGAATGTAAACATCGCTCAAACCCAAATACTGTAGTTTCGTTTATGGCAACACTGCGTCACAATATAAAATGTGTTTATTCTTTTTTTGTTTGTGATCGTAATAAGTAACAATACTAACCTAATTATTTAAGTACTCTTTGTTATTAAGACACCACTACTAACAAATCTATGGACATATCATGTGGAGTCTGAAATAAACTTATTATTATTATATTATAATACCGTAAAACGGGGTATTCTATTCAGAATTCGAGGGGTGAATAGATACAGGAATGGGGTGAATAAATGTTAGAGTATTTTCCCAACATTTATTCACCCCTCTTTTGTATCTATTCACCCCGTTTTACCGTACTTGACTCCTCGTGCAATAAACCGAAATATAATCTTTGCATTGTTCTTACATATGCGTACAGTATTGAAATATGTATCAGAGACATTGTAGAACATACTTTTTTAAAAAGAGTAACGAATGGAGTTTCTTGGTCGTTCTTCTCCATTCGAATCTACGTTTTGGAATGAGCACCTAGCTTCACCTAGCTTCACTGACGGACTGACTGACAGACTATTATTTATTTTGTATTTGTTGACGTTTCAAAAGTACCAAACTATGGTTTAATTGAAATAAATGCTTTGAAAAAATGAATTAGCTATTATAAAGGTGTGAGGACCTTGCAAGACGTGTATCTGTTGCGGCTGCGCCTCGACGCTGTAAGCGGCGGCGGCGCGGTCGAAGTGCGCGACGAGCAGCGCGCACGTCTTGCCGTACTCGCAGCGGCCCACCACCGACACCTGCTCCAGCTGCTGCGACAGCGTGCCGCCGTCCTCCAGCGGGTCCTCCACGCCCTCCCTGCGGACCGCGACCAACGAACCCAAATTTTATTTATTTTTTTTAATACAATTACTTTGCCATTACAGATAACTTAACCTAATTCGACATAGTAACTTAAAATATGTTTCCTAAAACTATTACCTATGAACTATATTTAACTATAAACTTATTAAAATTTTAACTGCAAACTATATTTCCTTACACACTATAGAATAAGTGGTCCTTGTGAACTCGCTCGCAAATGTAATAACTTGTCATGGTTCTCACTAGATCTACGCGAGACAATGTATTTTCTATTGTATCTCATATCTTTTATCCCCGAAGGGATAGGCAGAGGTGCACATTATTTCACTGTACAATGTAATATCCACTTTATTTACTTATTTATTTTTAACAGTCACAACGGCATTATAATCCAATTACAATAACTGATATATTTACAACAATTTTTTTTTTAAAAACGTTGCCCCACACTAGGATTTTCTCCTGTGTCGTGGGTGCGTTTACAAACATACAAGTTCACATACACATCACACCCAGACCCGGAACAACAATTTGTGGATCACACAATGAATTGTTCCGTGCGAGAATCGAACCCGCGACACGTTGCGCGGCAGCCAGTTGCCCAGCCACTACGCCAACCGTGCAGTCAACAATAAAACATAAACAAAAGAAAAGAAAAGAAAAACTTAGTTAAAACAAGGGTTAACACCATTCATAAGTTTCTCTCGCATAAGCCTATTGCCATATACCAGGCACATTCCAAACTCAATACTACTACTGAGATTAAAAAAAAAACAGTAATATTTTGCTCGACCCGGGAATCAAACCCGAGACCCTTTGCTCAACAGTCGTGCTTGCAACAACACGGACAACGAGGCAATCGAGGAAATAATAACTTATTTAACCATTTGAATGCCCGGGAAAACATATTGACAGTAGTAGCCGAGTCTGGAATTGTGCCTTATATATGGCAATAGATTCACCCCCTATTACATGGGACTCATAACATAAATAGTGAAAAATCCCCAAATCTAGCTTACTACCTTGGTGATCATAGTTAAATCATCAAGACAATAGATAACTCTTTTTGCGATCGTCTATAAATCAGGGTATTAACATAACATCACGCCTCTTATTCCTGAAAGAGTAGGCTGAGGTGCACAATTGCACATTATGCCACTGTACAATGTAATACCCACTTTTCACTATTTATGTTATGAGTCCCATGTAATAAGAGGTATTACTTTTAATCCCCACTTTTGGAAATATACTTGGGGATTATCTAAAGACACTTACCTAAGCACACAGGACACAGAATCCAGTCTGGATCCAATATACGCGGCGGTGACTCCAGGAGCGTACGTCTCCAAGAGATGGGGCTCGCTTGCCTTCACGTAGGGAACTGAAGCGACCATGCGTTGCCATAGCGACAGAAGGTAGTGGACTGAGTTGGGGGCGAATTGCCACATCTGAAATGAAATATTAACTTGTCAGAACAAACTTATGAATAT